AAGACATAATAATTCTGAGTTTCTCATTCTTGCCTAAGTAAAAATATAACTTATAGTCTTGCCAAAAGCTTATTCTGCACTTTTCTCTCATGATCCTCCTGCTTGTCATTTAGGGAAGTGTGGAATTTCAGTAAAATCTTACCTTAAAATCGGCTCGCAGTCACATTTCTTGAAGCCATGGCAACTCTTCATGAGGACACTGACTGCAAGTTGTAGGAGTACAGCATTTGGAATACAAACTCAGACTTTGTTTATTAATGATAGGGAAGCATTTGGAGAAAGAAAGTATTAGGCAAGTTTGTTCTTATGTGTACTTCAAGAGTATGATTACAGAAACTTAGATGGTGCAGGACAATCAGTGGACATGGCCATGTCCTCAGTCAGAAGACATGGTATTTCTAAGATATATGAAGCTACTCAGTGGAACACAGCTTAATAAACATTTTACAGTATACTACTTTAAATAAGTAAATTAATTATGCTCTAAAATAAAAAAATAAGAAATATACAGCACTATTGGGCTACCATTGAGCATGAAACATATTGTCTGAAATATTGTGCAGTAGAGAACTGTATTATTATTTGATTACATTTAAGTCAAACCTATAGTTTACTCTCAGAAGTCATTTTAAATTCATAATTCATATACCACTTAATCTAAGGACAGAATCTTTTTTCCCATGCAAAGAATAATTTATTCATGTTCATTTTCTCTAGCTTTCAACTACAAAGCATTGAACTTTTGAAAAAAAGTATTATTTGGGTAATTTCATGACTACATTTTGGCTGAGTATATTCTAACAGTTTTATTGTGTTCAAAATACTATGTCAATATATGCTAAATATTAGAAAATATCATTCAATATTTTGTTTTTAAATGCTATACAATTGATCAAATAACGTATCATCTACCTATGTTTTGGATATTATAAAACTTCCCTTTGCTAAAACCTGGGTCCATTCCTATTTCAGTCTCTGTTTATGACCACCCTCTAGCTAAAGATTCCATTTAAGCTCATGTATTTAGGCTTCTACAAAAAACCACCTACTACAAACTCTCCTTGAACCTGTGCTCATTACCCTCACTGTGCTGCTTCCAACCCTCTGAATTAAGGTAGTAAAATGTCATCACAATCTAAACTTCATTGATTCTTCCAACTGCCAGAAGTCTCCATGCCTCCCTTTTGAAAGAATTCTCACGTATATAAGCTGAATAAGTGGCCCGAGGAGGGCTCTTCTTCCCAAATGCCAAGTAAAACATATAGTGCATAGCAAATCTTGATGACTACATTTCCTCTAACCCAGTGGGCCAGCTCCGGCTGTGGCTACCCTCTGCAGATCCAACCTTCTACACACATGGTAGATTAAAGAAGACATAACCACTAATGACTAGTATCTGTGGAGTAATATATTCAGTAAAGATAAATCTCCAAGAGTAATAATTATCCCCCAAATACCCTTGACTACTTCTCAAAACACTGTTTTAAACAACTGGGTGGCTTCCAAGTTTTGATCTTTTCTCATAATTATAAAGAAAATAAATCAGGACACTCATTTTCACACATGGAAGGTAGTTTTGCATATTATAGTAACTTTTTCCCCAAAATTAAGATTGTAAAACCCATTTTTATATGGTACCTTGAGGTAAAATTAAATGGACTTGAAACAATGTGCTACAGCAAAGACTGTTCTCATAACCCACCCCTCACCTTTGACCAAGTATTTGGTCTTGGAACTAAGTATGCATTATTCAACCATTTGAGTGCATGAATTAGCAGATGATACATGATATGTGTTCTTCTAATGAGGTTCTCGGTGTGGAGGCTCATCAGCTTCCTTTTCACATCTAAATGCATACATTTAGAAGTTACTTTGTTTAAATAACATGTCCCTACAGTCAAGGTAACACAAATCCCTTTATAGATCAGGAACTTAAATATTCCCAGAGTAAAGAGTATGAAAGAAACGTAATGTAAAAAAGTAAATGAAGCACATTAAATATTTAATATATCCCTAAATACAATGGTCTATAATATAATGGTGATACAAACTTGATTGCAGCTAAGGTTACAAAACTGCATATATTTTGATTTTTATAGGTCAATAGGTGCTTATTAGAAGAACTGAAAGTAATTTTAAATAAATGATTCAATGCTTAAAGCATCTATCCAGGATCTAACAAAAAGCAATATAGTATTATGTGGAATTCATCTATTCCTCCATTTTTTAATAGTCAAAACTTTCAGTGAGTCCTTCCTATGCTCATAAAAATGACTCATTTTATCACGTGATGCTTAAAAATAACTTTCAGTGACCACAGTTCTACAAAGGCAGCTATATATACATACACATTTTCCTTTTAGAGTTTGGTGATGAAGTATCACCCTTTTATCATCATAATTTAGAAAAAATAAAACTGCCTTAAAGTCAAACTTTCAAATGCTTTTAAAAACTGTGAGTAAAAACTGCTCCATTACCATGCATTATGAGTAATTCTGCCACTTAAAAATAATAAATTTCGCTTCTTGTATAATTACATTTACTTTTTTGTGATATTAATTGAACCCAATCATGAGAATAAATTTTAAACAGAGAAGATGAACTCCATTTATCCCATAAATTCCATTTAGAATTTAATATAAATGTAATAACACACTCACTACCTATGATAAGCTAATTGTTACCTGTGGATGTGGTAAGATGACATGTTAATGTAGCACATAATCACTTTTTATAGGGCAATGATTTGTTAAAAGGCAAACAGAACAATATCTTAAATGAGACATGTGAACCATACATTTTCTCTAGAATTATAAAGCCATTTACAACAGGGCCTATTAGTGGTACATGTTATTAGCTCGAATCTTTAGACCTGCTACTTCTAAGTGAAAACATGACTCACTTCTGAAAAGAAACATTACTCTGCATCTTCCTACCACGACTGTTAGACCGATTTAATGACTGACATCTAAATGATATTTGTGTGAAAACAGTGATATCTCACATCTCACATATGAATAGTTTAAGCAGAATATTTGCAGCTCTGTTTCATCAGCAAGAGTGACTGGATATGAATCATGAAGCATTTTCACAGACAGGGTGACTTACATGCTTATCAACCTCAAAATGATAAACAATTGGTTGATTTTAAGCTATACCATGACCTATTGCCTAAAGTGTGATCTGTCACAATACCAGATGGCTAAGCATGTTTCACTCAAGCTCAGGTTTGTGATCAATCCCTAAATAATGCAGTCATCCTGAGGTGTAAGTGTATCACGTGAAGCATTAGCAGGGATTTCCCCCATACACTCAGCACAATTTTTGCCACAATAAGAACTCAATACATCTCAATCCACATGTGGAACAAATGACAGTCTCTTCTGACAGTAGTACAGCTCTTTCTTTGAGAATTGTCTAATATGATCAACTCACTAAACAGATCAACAAGGAGTAAAGTGTGATACAGAAAAAAATCTTGCCTTGAAAACTTCCTCCTACTGCTTAGAAGTGGTACCTAGCGGTACAGGTCAAGGATAAAGGAACTGCAGTCTGTGAAACAACTGAAAATAAAAAGGAGATTTTTTTTTTTTTAATGAAGAAGAGGCTTACTGGCAGGTTAATCATGGAAGTCAGTCTTTGATGTAAAGAGTATTAAGGGAAAATATGTTACATTCTGGGATCAGACTTTCAAGTTAATATTATAGCACAGAGAGTCCCTGAACCTTCTTGCTGAGTAGCATGTAGGCTCTTTGGTTAAATGAAAGCTCCTGTTTTGCATGTGGTTGTGCCCTTGAGCGCTCTGAAACAATTTGTCAATCAACTGCTCATTGTTTGGGAAGAGTAACAATCTGCCTCTCAATTATGAAATGCCATTCTGAAACCCAGGCAACATTTACAACATAAACGTATTCATTGAAATTCTTTTTTAAAAATATTGAAAATTTTAAAATACTTAAAATTGCTTAGAAAAAATTAATAACAATATTAAAAATTGAGGACCAGTATTCCTATGTGTGTGCTGCTATTCTGTAAATTTTACAAATGATCAAGTGTGTAAAGATCAAACAACAGCAAACTAACAGCTGCTCAACACAGCTGGATTTTTCCTGGTTTGCTTCTGTATCATGAAATTTAAAACTACAAGCCTATATTCAGGATGCAATCCATTTACATTGTTGGCCCTCAGCATGCAAGGTGATTTTCTTGCTGAGCAGTTCGTGAATGAGCGTCAAAATACCTGATGAGAAATTGAAAAATCAAGATACGGTTCAGGAATCAGTCAAAAGTGTTAGCAGCTGCCTCTAGAGAACACAGCAACGTGTATCTGTAAGAGACATCAAGTGCCTTTAAGTACAGAGGCTTTGAAGTCACTGTTATCCAAGGTAGATTAAAAAAAGAATAAAAGGCAAGCAAATAATGGTGTTAAAAAATAAGGAAATATTTTGAAATGACTGCGGGTAACATGATTTGTTATCACGCTTCCGCCGCATACAGTTTCTCCTTAACATTATCATCAAGTGAGCGTAACCTTAAGATGATTCTGAAATGAGTATTATATAACTTAGAGCACAGCTGCTAATCGGCAGCTCTTCCACTTGTCCCAAATTAGTTTTGCAGCAGAAAACTCGAATGGCTCCGCAGACTGAGAAGCAGGACACTAACACAGCTGCAGTGGTCCCACGCTCGTGTTGTAAGAGAGGAATGAAGTTGGGCACGGTCGCCCTCGGTGGGGCGCGGTGCGGACGGGAGTCTCCGAGCAGAAGGCACCCCGGGACGGCACGGAGCCCGAGGGCACGTCGCCGGCCGGCCGGCCAGCGCGCCTCCGGCTTCCGCCCGCGAAGCCCGGCGCGGCTCCGGGCTGCGACTCGCGCACAACTCGCCCAAGTTTCCCGGCGAGGACCCGGCGCGAGCTCCCGGGCGGCCGCGGCCCCGCCTGCAGCCCCTTGGCTCGGGACCGCGCCGCGCTGCGCCCCAGACCCCGCGCGCGGCAGCCTTACCTGAGCGCAGGCGGCGGCGGCTGGGAGCGACCCCGCGCCCCCGCGCTGCTCTGGCTCCTCGCCTCCGGCTCGGCGTTCATTCACCGAAGGTCCTCTGGGCCGGGCACCGCGACGCCCCGCTCCTCCTGCAGGAGGCCGCCCCCTTCCGAGCACTGCGCGCAGCCCGCTCTGCAGCTCCGCCACCTTCTCCTCGCCGGGCTGCTCCGGGTGGCGGGGCTGCAGCCGAGCCGCGCGCGCGAGCCAATGGGGGCGCGGGACGCCTCCCTGTCATCTGCCCGCCCTCAAAACAAAGCGCAGCGTGCCTTTCACAGGGCGCACGCCGAGTTGTGAAAACTAATTGAGTCCTCCCTTTGCAATGTAGCTTGTTTGTTGTGTTTCTGCCCTGAGGTTCACTGCAGAATCCTTTAAGGGAGCGGGAGGATTGCGTGGCTCTCTGAAGGTTCATTACGGGAGCCTAGCTGAGGGTAATGAGTCGGGGCCCAGAGAGGGCCAGCACCTGGGGCAGCACCTGGGGCAGCACCTGGAGCAGCACCTGGGGCAGCACCTGGGGCAGCACCTGCAGCCTTGGTTTGCACAGGCTTTAGGGCTATTGAAGATCTGACAACTGGCAGGAGCTGGAGGCCAAAGGCTTGGAGTCTGCTCTTCAACAAGTAGCGTATTTCTTCTACTCTGTGGAACAGCACAATGCAATCCATTTACCTGGAAACGGTGTCATTTTTTTTTTTAAACATCCCCAGAATAAGAATCAGGTGATAATTGGGATCTAATCATAGATATGGCGTTGCTCCTAATTTATACACCTGTTTGTAGGCTGATTTAACTGTGGGTCATATTCTGCGAGGCACTAACAATTATTCATACTGTTATGTCAGTCTGGTCTGTTTTAATGCAAACTCTTATACATTGTAAGATTTTAAAATTAGCATCTTTGTTTTCCCTGAGATAATTGGCTTAGTGATTACTCAAAACTCATATTTTAATGGTAATAAAAATTGTAATAAAATAACTACTTTTGAAAGTAATGTGAAGCTACTCTAAAATCACCAAAACCACAATGTGTCCTTTATCCATGAGAATCTGTCTTTGTATTTTGCTATTAGTTGTGTATATACTGAATTAAATTTGCTTAAACAAGTTCATTCATGATCATTCATTTTCTCTTCGAGACTCTGTTATATTATCACTCCTGTATCAAGATTGCAGCAATATTTCATAGAATCAGCTTGTCTTAGTAAAAGTATCTCAGAATAGCTCAAAGCCATCTTAAAAATGTGCATTAGAATGAGTAGAATTGGAAGTTTAAATAACTACACAAATAATAATCCATTTTCAGTATCAGCACTGAGTAAGAATAAATGTCTTTCTGTAATCTTTTTTTTTCCACTGAAACAATGCAAATAGCTTGATGAACTTGGTGTAGCAAAGCTTTGTGTATCATGACAAGTTAAAATAGCTCCAGGAGACTTTACAAACAAAACAATTTTGTTACCTGTCCATCATGTGAAGGAAACATGGAAATTGTAATATCTACAGCATTGTAAACTGTGTCGCTATTAAAAAATGTGAATGCTACCTTAATTGTAACTCATTCACATAGCCAATAAAATTTTATTCAGGGTAGTGTCTTGCTGAGTGGAACCACCTGGCTAAGACTATGTTGTGGAACCATGAACAATAAACATTAGTTTTCATCAGGCTTATAATATAATATTTATTCGAACTACAGCAGAAATCTAATCGCATGCTTTATAAAATAAAGTTTTATTGAAAAACAATCACTTTGTGTGACATAGTATTAATGGCTTTTGTTGCTCTGCAAGTGTAGGGGTAAGTAGGTTGCAGGAAGCATTTCTGACCTCTTTGTTCTTCCTAGGACCAAATCCTTAGCACCCACATTTAAAGAAGGAGAAGTTTATGTGGCTCACGGTTTCAGAATTTTCAGCCATGGTCTGATGGATCCAAAGTACAGACATCATGACAGAAAGGCATAGCAGAGAGAAATTGCTTAACTCGTGGGGGCAGGAAACAGAAGACAAAGGCATGCAAAAGATGTGCCCTGCAAAGCCTCGCCTCTAGTTCTCCATGCACCTCACTCCGTAGCAGTGCATTCAGCTATAACCATCAGTGCGTTAATCTGTTGAGGAGTATTCTTCCCCCCAGAATACAGTAACCCTTCTGGGCAGCCTTTAATCTAGTTAAGTTGACAATTAAGCCTACCCATCAGAGATGGACAGAGATTGAAGCTTAAAATGCTCACTTTTTGTCCCTTTAAGAAAACTTCATTGATTTCTTCCCACAATATTATAAGATTCACAAAATAATTAATACAAATGGCAAAAATTGAGAAAAGTGAACATACGTGAGATGAGCAAAAGCACATTAACGAAATCAATGGGGTTTGAAGTAGATTCAAAGTGATCATTTGGAAAACTATATTGATGTGTGTGTGTGCATGTGAATGTGTGCTTACAGATTTAACTTCTTGGTAGGATAGAGTAGAAGTACTTTTCCTCTTGGAGTTGTTTCAAACTCATTTTGAGATAAAGAAATGTAAAGGAACAATCATTTCCAAAGAAAATATCAAAGAGCAAATATAAATCTGTAGACATTTTAATCAAGTCCAGGTAATGAAGAGAATGTTCAAGTCTTATCTGCCCCAAGGCTGACATGCAGTGGGGATGAGTGACTTAACTTTTATTTGTGAATTATGGCGCGTTTGGGATCATTTAGAAGTAAGCTGGAACTTAGTCTCTCCTAAGTTTACAATTAAACTGAGAAGAGATAAGGAAAAAAGCTACAGCAAAGGTACTTGCTGAGAAGAGACAACAAGCTATATACTCCAATACTATTTTGGAGAAAAATAAGAAACCATTAGACTTTCTTTAAATAAGTTATGACCTGAAAGATGAGAAATGGGTATTTAATGTAGAACACATTGTGAATGCTAATATGGTGAGAAATAAGGCTTCTCCAGGAGTCTGTTGAGAAAAAATGATATCACCAACATAATATTAGAAGAAGGGCTCTGCATTCCTAAAGAATGGATGGAAGAACAGGAAGTGAAATAAAATTTATCACAAAGCTGTGGAAAAGCAAAATTTCAGATCTCAAGCACTGCCACCTTTGCACTTAATTTGATGAGTCAATGTGTTCCATCAATTTTACTTTCTTAATGCCACCAAAAGCAAGAGTCTCTCGTGTGTTTTGTCCACCACTGTCATTGTTTGGAGTCCAGCTTCCATCATCCTCCCTGGACATCCGCAGCATCTTTTCATTAGCATTTCTCACCCCGTCATGTCTATTACCTGTCAATCATCGATTTGCTTTATAATTCCTTTACCCTGAACCCACCGAGGCTGACGGAAGATTTCTGATTATATTGAAAAAGGAGGCAGAAGGACCCAAAGAAGCCAATGAAGCCAGAAAACTCTCACTCCTGCAGCTGTAACTTTTGTGCAGAAGGGAGTAACTTCGCTTATGCTTGTATTTCCTTAGCTAGAGAAAAGTCTCAGGCGCTTTGCGAAAACACATGTCAGTGTGACAGAGAAGTATAACCCGCCTTCAGAGAGCAAACCGTGGGGAAGCCTCGCCACATTTTAAAGGATGATATAATGTACTGTAATTTCTCTGACACTAAAACAACAAAAATATGAGTTTGTGCAACAAGGGTCAGCATGTCTGGGAAATATTTCTTCTTAATTCTATCATGTCATATTTGTGCTTACTATTTTTTGAAACGATTTTAGAAAACTTATTTTATGAAATCTTTGAAAGGGTTTCTTGTGTTTAGAACCATAGAGGAGACATAGGAAGAGTCAAAATATCCCATTTTTTTTTTTGCCTTGAAATTTAGTTACCTGAAAGCAAAGGATGACTAATAGTTTATGTGTCAGAAGATCCCTAGAGCCAGTGTAAAGGGGCTAGATTATGGTGCATACTGTGAATAAGATAGCTTTATCATACAAGGAATTCTTTTTAAAAAATTAAGAAAAGCTATAAAATATGCCTCTTGGGATTTTTCAAGCCAAAGACAAGAACGTCCTTTATCTTATTGGCCGAAGCTTCCACTCAAAGATGCGACTACTCCCTCTTTGAGACAGTTATACAACTGCAGGCAGCAACTCCTATCTCCTTCTTCAGTATAAAAAGAGACTACGGGCAGAAAGGCAAGCTTAAATCATGTTCACTTGTGGAATTTACCATCAGCAAAAATAGAAAATCATGACAATGTGAGTCTATCTTTTTACTTGCAATGAAAGCAGGAGATCTAAGAAAATGTAAATTGTCATTGAGTATCCGAAGACAATGGCCATGGCAATAAGAAGGGATTGAGGGTTTCCGAAGTGGGCAGAATCTCCTGACAGGCTACAATGTGCTGATTGCTCCAGAAACTGAGCAGAACCTGCTGCTTGAAAGCCAAGAAGAAAGGGGTTTGGCTAATCATCCAGTGGCAACAACAGTAAAACTCCTTACTGTCCTTCACTTGTAACAAATGTTAATGTTTATTGAGCACTTACTAGTTATCAAGCATATGTACTCCACTTACAAGATTTTCATGTGGGGCTGGGGGTTTAGCTCAGCGGCATAAGCACCTGCCTTGCAAGCAGGCGGTCGTGAGTTCGATCCCCGGTACCGATAAAAATGAAAAAGACAAAAAAAAAAAAAAAGATTTTCATAACACATGAAACAGCACCATTATGCTTTTTCTTAGTTCACAGAAAATGACAGCATAGAGAATTTAGATAACATTTAATGATTATGGAGTGAACAGTAAAGCCAGCATTCATGGACTATTAGCTAAACTCCAAAGCATGTTTTTGTTGCTATTTGCCTTCTCCACCTCATCCCAAATATTTCTATATGGCTGGATATAACAAAATTGCTAATTATTGAACCTTATAGTTCTTTATTTCATGGCCATAAAATATTGATTTTTTTATTTTAAAGAGAAAAAAAAAAAACAGAAAAATCAAGAAGCAAACAAACCATCAAAAAACAACAAAACCAAAATGACAGCAACAAAAACAACAGATAGTAGTGATATAGGATTTCAAAGCAAAATGATAGAATTTAACCATGGTTATTTTGCAAACTGTTGCTGGTCAAAATAGTTGCTGGAATGTAAGACTGATCAAACAGCATAATTTCTCCTTGA